AAAGTTTTAAAAGTAAGCTCTGTGTGGCTATTTCTCAAGTGTGTCCAGCTCGGACCTGTTTAGTAGCTAAGAGCAGTGCCAGTTTTCCACTGGAGGTTGTTCTTTCCAATAAGTAGGTCATAGGGCTTGTACAAAATGCTTAGTGCCATTCGTATGGATAAAGAGTGGAAGCCGCCTACATAGCCCCAACAGGACATGAATGAAATATCGCCACAAGATGGCATATGCAGAGGGGAAAATGCAAGAGTAAGACCCGTGTGAACAAATCTCAGAAACAATGTTCACCATGGTCTGCTCAAGAAAGAAAACTGCAGAGGAGAGTTTTACAGTTGTGTGAAGATTAAAAGCTTGAAAAACTATGCCATGTATCACCAATGGTTATCTATATAAAACATAGTAAAAGAGCATGCATGGGAATCACACATATAAAACTCAGATTAATAGCTGCCTCTAAGGAGGGACAGTACGGGGAAGGGACACTAAAGGACATTAGTCATTTATACAATGCTTTTTTTTTTTTTAAGCCTGAAGTGAGTTCCATGGGTGTTCTCTATATCAATATCTACACTGAGGCATTTAAACAAAGTGAAAAAGTCATCTGGATTCAAAGAACTTTTTTCCCTCCAGTGAAACTCAAAGCTCTTTATATTTTTATTAAAGAAGGAATGTTTCCCAAAAGCATTTTACTACTTATTACTACCTTGGGCCTGAGGCCACAGTGGGGCAAACACAGCCCTTGTCACTTACCATTGATCCTGCCACTTACCAGACCCAGGGGTCACAGGCAGGACTAAAGTCCAAACTTTAGAGTAATAATCATTTATCTGCCTGGATGCCCACTCTGCAACCCAGTCCCCGTGCCCAAGAACGCTAAGGTTGGCAGATGGTAAAGGACTGGAGGATTTCATGACCCGATCATTTGTTTAATCTCTTACTTCGAACCACTTGCATCTTTGTTCTGAAATTTACTTCCCCCTCCCTCTCCTCTGGCCCACCCCTCAGGTTTCAGGTTGAACACTGTGTGCAAGACACCTCCCCTGGCCGACTCTCTCTCCAGTGTGGGTTAAGGAAGCTCGTGAACCTTGAACTCTCCTAAGGTTGATAGGGGCATGGACTGATTGGCTCATCCCAGTCTCCCCAATGCCTATATAGGGTCTGAAAACAGTAGATACTCAAAAAAATATTAGCTGAACGCAAAAATGGGAGACTACAAACCCCCCAAATATCTGCTGAGGCGAAGGCCTGGGCCGTCTGGGTAGAGGTAGATTGAGTACAGGAAGTGAGTGTGACAAACATAGACTGTGCCTTTCCCACTTGTTTTCAAAGGACCAGTCTACTGTGAAAAAGGAGCGTGAAGTCGGAAGCAATATTTAGCTGCAGGTGTCGAGCCTTGGACAGCACCGTCTGAGCCTCCATGTCACCATCAATCCCATGATGCAAAGGAGCATACTGGTCACTTCAGGTTTCTGTGTATCTGCTCATTTGGATGTTCCCTTCCCTAGAGAATACACAGTAAAGTAGCTAGTGGAGAGCTGGTGGAGGGAGAGCAACGTCTTGTGTGCGACTCCCCCAAGAAGCCTGCTTCTCATTTGAGGGCCCATGGTTAGACCACTTGAAGTAAAGACTTGCAGGAGACTTTTTTTTTTTAAAGAAGGAATGGGACATAAAATAATAGAGGCTAAAAACTAGAGCACTATGGAAAATGTCGAAATAAATACATGAAGAATTGGCAGAACAAACTACTGAGGACATTGGGACATTTGTGGGTTAGCAGGTACAGGTGTTGGTATATTCCTAATAGTTTGGCTCCAATTCATGAAGACGCCTGCTACTTTGCGCCCCTCACCTGTGCAGCATGTGCAAACACAGTTCCTCTGCATCTCTGTTATAAACATCAAACCCGCTGTGTTGCATGCTGGTGTGGCTACTAGCTGAGGCCCGGAAAGCTACAAGCCCTTTGGGCAAGCAACATCTTCTCTTACTGGGATGGTGACTTTGCTGCTGCTCATCAAAGGAAAAGATGGGCTCTCAGGAAGGAAATGAAACCTAGCCTTGCGGGCAGAAGTGTGCCCTCCCGGGCAGACCTCGCTTTTTCTTGGAGGAGTTAGGACGTCTTGTACATACTCCTGGTAGACAGGGGCTAAGGAAGCTTCCACACATGTACACATATCAAGAGCTGCTCTTCAGAATTCAAAGGTCATGAATTTTGTATTAACAAGTATATATCTCAAAAACATTGTATTCAGAAAAACATACAGAGTGATTCTTACTGAACACTTAATATGTAACTACTCTGAGTGTTTTACATGCATGAAGTCATTTAATCATTTGAGCCTCAGAAGTACCCTTTGAAGCAGGCACTATTATTATTCCCATTTTACAGATAAGGAACTGAAGCACAAAGAAATCACACAACTCTCCCAAAGCCACAGCACTGTCTTCCCAGAGTCTGTACCCTTGACCGCACTAGTGAACCGACACAAAGAGTTTGCAGAACTATGTGCATAGCATGGTACCTGTCAGTATCCATCAAGCTTTTTAAAGGACGGGAAGGAAATATATTAAATTGATAACAGTGTTGCACTGACCAGGAAGTTTGCAGGGTTGTCAGAAAGGACTATTTTTAAAGAACAATATATTAAAAAATTTGTAACTTTGGAAATCATAGTTATACTTGAGAAAAAATGAAAGTGAATGTGTTAAAAAGCTGGAGGTGGTTTATTGTGCGGACGGTAGAATTATGGACAATATTTTTCTTGTATATGGACGCATTTTTCAATTTGGAAAAGAGAAAGAATACCTGGTAACGGATCCGCCACTCCCCAGAGAAGGGAGGATGGGGCCAGAATATCTGGGCTTTTAAACAACTCCAGTGTTGCTCAGATGTGCGGGGACAGCTGCATTTGGCAGCAGGATCGGGGTTCAGAGAGAGCTGATGGGCCTTGGAAACAAGATCCTGAGTTCAATCCCACCTGCCCCACCCGTTGGCTGTGTGGTTGGCTCACTCATGAAATGGAGCAATACCTTTTCCACCAAGTTCAATGAAGATTTAATTAAGCATCATCCATCACCTAATGTGGGTCCACATATACTGCAATGAGGTTTTCCTCCTTGCCTTGGCACTTTGAATAATGACAACTTAACTCTTTATTTGCTAGGTGGTAAGAAGGGCAGAAGGCATGCTGGACTATACAATGTTGAGGGCAGCTGAAATACTTCTGGAAAAAATCATCACATGCTAACACCAACACTTTCACCAACCACCCAATACATTAACCTCTGTTTTCTTCTCTGTAAATGGGTCTAATAAGACCACTTATTGACCAGGGCAATTGAGATTTTGGATAATGCTTTAAAAAGTTCACCTAAATGGTGAGCACACAACATAATATATGCTTGTTGTATTAGGGAATTGTGTACTTAAAACTCATGTAACTTTAGTAACCAATATCACCCCAATAAATTTAATTTTAAAAAGTTTATCCAGAATACATACATGCGCGCACGCACACACATACACACACGCCTTGGGTACAAACATTTCATCCAGTCCAAGTAATTTAGTTACTTGCAGTTTATTTATTAAGTTGAAAACATCCTATTAATTTACTATTAGTTAATTTATTGACTCTAAGGCCTGACCGCTCAAGGGGAAAATACTAAATTGTTACAAAGGCACATTTTACGGGTATATTATTTCTCATAAACAGTTTGTCATTCAGAAAGTACCCTATGTCTCTTCGCCACTTATGGCTTGCTCTCACTAAAGCAGACGTTTCCCCAACCCTCAGTCCCCTTTTTGGATAGCCAAGTTTTCTTTTGTAATAAACTATTTTTAGGTCAATTTTAAATTTACCGAAAAATCAAAAAGATAGTACAGAAAATTCCAATATACTTTGCACCCAGTTTCCCCTATTATTAACATCTTATACTGATGAACCAGTATTAATGCATTATCATAAACTAAAGACGACGCTGAATTTGAATTTCTTTAGTTTATATCAAACATCTTTTTCTGTTCTAGGGTCCCATTCAGAACACCATATTACATCTAGTCATTATGTCCCTTGAGACTCCCCTTGGCTATGACAATTTCTCAGATATTCCTTGTTTTTGATGACCTTGACAGTTTTAAAGGATATGGGTCAAGTATTTTGCATAATGTCCCTTCATTAGGATTGGTCAGATATTTTTCTCATGGTTAGACTGAGGTGATGGGTTTGGGGGAGAAAAATCACAGAGGTAAAGTGCCGTTCTCTCCATTGATGCTGACCTTGATCACCTGGCTGAACTACTGTTCATTGGACTCTTCTCTGAAAAGTTACCTTTTCCTCTCTTTTTCATATTGTTTGCTTTGGCCATCGCTCTGTGCCACCCTCACTAAAGAAACGAGGAGTTACGTTCTCCTTCTTTGAGTAGGGTATCTACTTAAGTGATTTGGAATTCTTCTGCATGGGAGCTTTATGTCTTCTCCATTTACTTATGTAATCAGCCATCAGGTTTAATTTTATGAAGGAACTTGAAGTAAAAGTTAATTGCTTCAGAAATAGTTCTTCTTAAAATCCAAAGCAGAAGAGTAAAAGAAAAGACCACTTCCTTTGCTTATATTTAAATATAATTTCATTCTTAATTGAAGACTTACTGTATAAAAATCTGAGCCTGTAGAGGATATAAGATTACTGAGCCATGATTGAAACCATCCTCAGGGCCAGATAGAAATGTACACATGTAAGACAAGTAAGGGCTACTGTTAAAAGTAAAAAGTGTATTGAGGACACTGCTAAGACAATAATTAATTCAAGACAAAATTGATAAAAAGAAGTCTGAGGCCAGGGCTCATTTCCAGGGTATGCAACCAGTGGTTCTGAATGATCTGGTTGCGAATGCAGGAGCTGAAGTTCAGTGAGAATGAAAGACTGAACTAAAGTCACACAGTTGGTTAATGTAAGAGCGTATGCTGAAAATCAAGTATCTTTGGCAGAAATGAATAAAGCTCCTACCTCAAATAAGCGCAAGACTTTGGCCAGTGCACCAACTTCTTCTTTGAGTGAGAAAATCAGCGATATGGCACCACTTTGGTTGGTGTTTTCTTCAATATAACTTGTTTCCTACAGGATTAAACACACTTGGTTAAAATGTTCTCCATGGTTTAGCAATTCATCCCTGTGAAACCTCAAGAAAAGACCATCATGAATTGTTTCTTCTAACTAAGCCTTAGGATACAATGAGCTACATATATTCTATACAGAAGTACATAGCATGGTGGAAAATAAGTAAGTCAAGTGCAGTGATATTTTCAATAATGTTCCTAGATTAGATTTCAACTTTAGGAACTTCAATTATTCATTGATGTCACCAGTCACCTTATAGATCCAATAAGTTTTAATGAATATCTACCATGTGTCAAGTAACAGGGTGCTAAGAAATACATACAAAATAGAAGCAGCTCAAAATTTGGCTTAATAGACACACAACACACCAAATAACTGGGAAAAAAAGATCCTTAGAGGTGAGTCAAAAAGTGTCCCAGGAAAACACTGAAAAAGACGGGGTTGAAATTCCTAAAAATAGAAAACACATGTAGGCATTTGAGTCTGAAGACATGGGTTGGGATCCTCTCAGATGGAATACTTTGGGTAAATCATTTCAGCCTTCATAGTTTCATTATCCATAAAATCACGCTAATAATAAGCCCTGTCTAAACAGTATTCAGAAGATGGAAAAAGAAAAAGATAAAGTAGTTGAAATAGAATATTAAGAGGAGTCTATAAAAATGATGGAAATATTTTAAATATACAAGAATGGCCTCTTGGCCTTTGGCAAATATCTCAGGGAAGTGCTAACTTGTTTTTGTATACTGGGATCTTGGATATCCAATTGTAGAAAAATAGTTACGAGACACATTGGAAAGTGGATGTCTTAAGACAATGAAGGATATCAAAGAGATAGCACTTTCCACATGCATGGGACAGCAAATTAAGGTGGGATTAGGGTTGGTATTCCACAAAGAGTTTGCTGGAGTCTTTTAAATGTTTAAAATTAAGTTTTATAATAATATGTAAAATTCCACGTGTGCCCACAAACAAACAGCATGTACCTGAACCTGGGTAGAAGAAAATGTGCAGAAATTTACTCTCCCATAAGCAAGGTGAAGAAATTAGTTGAGTGGATGTTACGTTTTGTCAGTGGGAAGCCTGTGTTGGGCAGGGTATACCCGTGACTAGGCACAATAAGCCCTGAATAAGCACTGGTGACCCTTAGGATGAACTTCTTTGAATTCAGAAAATTCAGATGTTCCTAGAACCTCACCTGAAAGAGCGATGTGGAGAAAGACCCTAAATTATCAGCTAGTGTGATTAGAGGGAGTTTCAAATGAATTAGAAGACTGAGCTGTTATACATCCCTATAAGGATCATGATGCAATATTCCTAAAAAATTTTTAATCCATCTTTTATTATGAGCCTATAATGTTGCAGGCATTATCAGTACCTGATTTGGATGCTCTCATTTAATTTTTGTAACAATCTAGAGCAGTGATTTTCATCCAGCGTGCTGCAAGAATTTTGAAAACATGCAATATCTGGCTATTTAGCCAGGGGCACTGGCCAATTTTCCTTAGACTGTCACATTAAAAAATGACAACAGCCAATACAATAGCCATCTAGAGTGAATAAATCAAAATTATACCTATTTTTTGTCAGATCTGCAAAAAATATATTTTTTGGTTGCCACATAATTTTAGTAATTAGTTTATGTGTGCCATGGGATGAAAAGGGCTGAAAATTGCTGATTGAGAAGGTGGGTTTGATTAACTTCCAGGCACCTCTTTTTACTGATGACAATTTTAAAGCTTAGAGAAGTTGAGTAAGTTACCCATAGTACACAGTGAAGCCAGAATGGGAACCCAGCCTATTTGATCCCAGGATACTGTCTATGAATCAGGACTCTTTGCAGACTCTACCCTGCCTTCTCCCTCTTTTAAGCCCTGCCAAAGATATGCAGATGAATTTCTGACAGCAGTCTTCTTCTTCCTACCAGAGAACAGTGAGCCCTTAGTCCTTTCTGGTTTCCTTGAAATGACAAAGGGTTCCCCTGTTTCACGTTCCCTTGGCAATATTCTCTTTTCCTGTTGGCCTACAAGAAAAGTACTTGGTTGACCAAAAAGTTCATTTAGTTTTTCCCATAAAATAAAAAACAAGGTTTTTCATTTTCACCAACAACTTATTTGATTTTGATATTTTGAATATGGCAGCTATCTCCCGTGTGGCATAACATTGATTTTTCTCAATTAATGTCTTGATTTGATCACCATCAACTTCAACTCATCTCCCTGACCACAGAGCCTCGTCCAGTGAGAAATCTCCAGCACAGAACTTCACAAACCACTTTTCACACATTTGATCAGTCACAACACCTTCTCCATACACTGCACAAATCTTTTTTTCTGTTCCGGTTGCATTTTTACCTTTCTTGAAATAAAGCATAATACGCCAAAAAGGATGCATATTTTCTTCCATCTTCAATGTGAAAATGGCTGCACAAAAATTCACTAATTTTCATATGTTTTTTTAAATGCACCCTGATATGACAGCTGTCACAATATAATCTAACAAAGTTGTTTCAAATGAAGTTAAAGACAACTAAGTGTTACTAGAACCATCTTATGGAAAAAATCAAACAAACTTTTTGGCCAACCCACTAACATATTCCTGGTACATCTCCACAGATGTAACCTTTCAATTCAGATGTGAATGCACCATGCTCAAAACTCCATCACCACCCACTTCCCACTCCTGTGCATGACCAGTCAACCACCAAGTCCAATGTGACCTTCTGCAGCATGGCTCTCATGATCAGATCCTTCTTTTGTTCCTACTGCCACAGCACTAACCCAGCCCTTTGATCCAGCCCCAACAGAATTTAGCTCATGTGCCCCTGCTCAGAATTCTTCAGAGGCTCCCCGTGGCCAATAGGATCAAATATCTCCTCATATTCAGGAACCTCCTGAGGCCCACCCACAAGAAATAGCCCCCCACCCACGCCAGCAAATTGGTTTCCTCCTTGCCCTTTCAACTCCTCATCGGAGTAAATGCACTGCACCCCTCTGTCTCTTATTCTTTCAAGTAACTCACCCTTCCTCAAAAGCCCTCTTGGGTCTCTCTTCCTTCAGAAGCAGTGCCTTTTCAGTGTGTGTATTTCTTTGGCTTCTGATGCCCACATGGAACTCGATAATAATTGGCTCACAAAGCTAGGCTTGGCTTTAGAGTTCATGTAGTTCAAACCCTCTTTTTTCAATGGAAAAACTATGGGCCAAAGAAGGTGACTCTCCTGAGATCACACAGGTAAGTGGTCCCAGGTCAAGAACTCAGGCTCCTAAATATCAGCCATTCTATACAATTCCCTCTGTTATGAACATAATGTCCATATAAAGGCTTAGGTTTCTTGCAAAGCAAGGATTTTTCTCTGGTCTAACTACTAGTTTACTCAACACCACCCCTTAGCTGTGCCGATGTCCTTTTTACTTTTTCCATTCTCCCCACAAACTTTCTAAATCAGCGTTTCTCAGTGAGTGTTCCTTGGATCTTCACTCCGAAATTACCTAGTGACTCCTTGTTTAAATGCAGATCCCTGGGCTTCTCCCTCATCAATCAAATCAGAATTTCTGGGGTAGGATCTTATAATCTACATTTTCGAAAGCACCCCAGATGATTCTTAACCATGGAATATTTTTAAACCACTGACAAAAAATATACAGCTTATTTTTTGAAATCATAACTTTTCTCAAATGTGTCAGCAAATTCACATTTACCCCATGACAAGTCCCTACTCCTTAGTGTTAGTAACATTAACAGTAGCACCTGCCATTGAGTACCCACTATGAGCCAGGATCCACACTTGGTACTTTTCAGAGTTAATAAACATCATCATCGGCAGCAACTAGCACTAGTCTAAGAGGTTACAAGTCTTCACAATAATAGCCCCGAGAAATGGCTGCTGTAATATTGTAAATAGGAGGAAATAAACTCGGCAAAGTTTAGTGGCCTGTCCAAGGACGCCCAGCTAATGAATGGCAGAGTCTGGTTTTGAGCTCAGGTCCCACAGCTCTTGGCAAAATCAGCTGGGACTACAGATTCCCCTTTCAAAGCCTGAGAGACTTACATGGAAGGAAGCTCATGGAAATATGTGAAATTGTGCTGTCTTGAGTGGATACTAATTTCAACCTTACTCTGTTGGCCTGGCATGGGACGGTCGGCAAATCTCTTCCAGAATGTTTTTATTGGCTCTTAATCTATACCTTATTTTTTTTTCCAGTAGACACATAAGTTGACTTAGAAATACAGGTACCTCCAGGACAGGTAGAGATAGAGAAGAGTAGCTCAGAAACTAAGTAGGAAGAAATAGGGCCGAGAAAGAACTTTACTAGGAATGAAAAATTATTTTGATCATTGAGTCATACCTTTAGCAATAGAAATATATTATGTTTAGTTGTGCCTAACAAATACATCCATTATCTTTGAAAAAAAGCACGTTCCCAAATTGCAAGCAGTAGTATTCTTTGGCAAGAATATTCCAAGGAATATTGGCCTTAAAAGGCCAACAGATTGGTCTTTTAACCTTAGTGCTTTGGGGGAACCATAGTAGGAGGTGTTTATTTGTTGGTGTGGTTAAACACACGTATCTACAGTGTTAAGACAACTAAAAACAAGATGTAAACATCCTGCCATAAGCACACTATACCATATCCCAGCATTTGTCTACAGGAGAAAGCAGTGAGGCAGAGGATCATGCAGGGGATCAGAGTCAGATCTGGTTTTGAACACTGGTCTCGCCATTCATAGTTGTGATTTCTGAGTTCCCCTGGTCTTCCATTCCACCCTCTGTCCTATTTTTCTTCACAGCACTTATCTCTACATGGAATTATATGTTCATTTGGTTAGTTTTTGTGTCTGTCTCCTACACTAGAATGTAAGTTTCTCCAGGGCAGAAACTCTGCTGTGCCTAGCACATCGTAGGTGCTCAGTAATTTTTTGTTGGGTGAACAAATGCATCACCATCTCTTAGAGCACTGTTGTGTTTGTTGCACTTGGAGAGCACTTGCCGTACTGTATGCCTTCCAGCCTCAGGTGAGAATTATGCCCACTGTGTGCTCTTCACCTGAGCTGGGAGTTTTGCAAAGGTATAAACCATATCTCTTTTGCAGAATGTCAGAAGTAGAAAGGATCCTTAAGTTTATTCTAGTTCCACTCCCCACTCCTCACAAATTTTACAGATACCAAACTGAGCCTCTCCTCACCCCAAATGGGTTGCTTTCCCAAAACATAACTTAAGTAACCCAAAGGCGAGAACCCAGGTCTCCTGACTTCATGCCCAGCATTGTTTCATTGCAAATCTATACCAGTCACTCACTGTCCCTGACTCAGAGCTTGTCCATCCAACCAATGTTCCAGACATATTTTGTTGAATAACTAAATTAATTACAGCTAGACAGCGCTGGAACTTTCTTGTGACCCGGGAACTGGGCCAAGAGCTTTATTGACATTTTATTTAATTCTCGCACTAACCGTAGCATTTTCATTCCGATTTTTCAAATGAATAAAGCTGCGGCTCTGTAAAGTTAAATACCCTGCTTTCCATGCACAGGAGGAACCAGGGCATGCTCTCAACCTTGCTCTTTACCCCTGGTTGTCAAGAGTGATAATTTGTGGATCTCCATCTTTTAAAGCTTTACACTCCATGGCCCCCTAACCAGATCGCTGCCCCCAACCTCCTCCCATGGTTGTGGGGGGTCCTCTGTCCGGCAAAGCAGAAACTAAATGATGACAAATTCAGGATTTGTCCTGGGATCTGTCCGACCCACACACCGTCCCTCTTCAAGCCCAAGTTCTCCTGTCTCTCAAGTATCGCACACCATTCTCAAAGGAAGTCTTCCTCTCAGAACTCAAAACAGAGTCAGTGCAAAGTTCTGCCGTTTCTCTAGTTACACTGAAACAGCAAGCACCTCCATCCTCTCTGAGGCTTCCTGATCTCTGGTTGGTCCTCACTAGTCCTACAGACAGCAGGTGCCTGCAGAGTGACGCTATCTCCCTGAGCGGGGCTCCAGTTCAGAACTGCAAAGTCCAGGACCGTGACAAGTCAAAGAAGGTGCTCTGCCATTGTTCACCTCCAGAGAAAGGCACTAAATTCCAGACAATGGGACACACCCTGGGTGTTATCCCCAAGTCACATTTAGGGCTTTCTCACATTCCAAGTCCAAGGTTCTCTTGTTTATTTTCCTGTTTATTTTCGCCTTCCCCAGGTCTGAGTAAGTCTGCGGCCTTTTTTGATGCCTCCTTTTCTCCCAAAGGTAAAAAGAGAATGCAATTTCTCCCAATTTTGCCATTTCAGTACATGGCTGAGAGCATATTATAAACATCACAGAAGAGCAGGTAGAGAAGGATCCCATCTCCCTTTCCAGATTGTTAACGAACAGCTCCTTCAATGTACATAAGGGAAAGCAGGCAACACAGAGGAAGGGTGACCTGTCCAGAGACACAGCTAGTTGGTGGCAGCTCTGGAAGCCAGATCCCCAACTCACAAAGCAATGAATGCCCTTTCCCCTGAAAGCCACGCAGGACAGATGTCCGCCATCGAAAACAATTGTTGAGGACCTGTGTTATCTGATGACCTCCTGGGCAATTTCATAATCTTCAAATGGATCCAGACTCCCTGGTGAGCTTATGGAAGGAAGTAGGAAACACCAACATTCCTCAGACCTCCTTCACTGGGACCAAACTCCCTCTTTGCCCAGCTGGCTCACCTGGCCGCAGTTGGAAAGTTTCCTGGTCAAGCTACTTTTCTCCAGGACCACATCCGACATGCTGGCCCCCACGAGTGAGGTCTCTAGCTCCGGGCTGTCAGTCACAGGTAGGTTTGTCAGCAGCACTAGGTGCTGAAGTTTTTAACCTGAGGTTGGGAAGGGCAGGACCGTTGCTTAGCTGTCTGGTGCCTTGCACCCGGCCACAGCGCCGCCCCTGGTGGGCGTTGTTCTGACGCAGGGAGCTCCAGGTCACAGCCCTGGGGCGGGGAGCATGGGGGAGCGTGAGGCGGGGAGGCCACACTTGGCTGCCTGCCCTCAAAGGAGGAGGCTGCCCCACAGGCCACCTGTGAGCGGATGGTTGGACAGAGTGGCCTTTCTAGGACTCTCAGAAGCATGGAAACAGATTCTCTGCACTGGAGTAAACCTGTGACCGCCTGAGGATTACAACTACAGAAAACAATCCTTTCTCCCCCTCCACCCCGCCCTCCACCCACAGAAACAGAGCCAGGATCCTTAATTTAGATTTGGGGTGGTTTTTCTTTTTTTGCCCTTTGTATTAACCACTAAGCACGCTGCCTTTCTAGGCTTTGACTTCAGACATACAAGGTGACGTGAACGCTGAGCACAGTTGCTAAAGAGCAAAGGTAAGAAAGAGAGACCTGGACTGAAATCCAGCCATGTGTCCTGGGGCTGTTTACCTAACTGCGGGGAGTGCCCTAAAGAGGATGGCAGAGCCCCCCGTTTGAGGGCGTTTTAAGGATATGAATAATAAGGATAATAAGGCAATGCATTAAATGTTTAGCACAGTCCTTGCCATATGTTAAATAGTTGGTAAATGGATGATATTGTTGAAAAGCATGTGAACACAAGTAATTCCTGAGGACTTGTACTGCGGGGCCAGTAGGCATTGGGGAAACATCAACGAATGAATGGAGGATCCTGCCTCCCCCACCGCGCTGCCGCTGCCGTTCTTGGGGAGGAGTCAGAGAATAAACAAATAAATAAGTTTAGGCAGCGCTAAGCTTACAAAAGAAAATGAAGAAAAGAGCTGGGAGTGAGCTGGTGGGTGTTGGAGAGTGGACTCTTTCAAGTACACAAGAAGATGTCATTCACCCCATTTTTTTCAGATCAGCAAACTGAGATGAGGCAGTCACTTCCAGTGGGAGCAAAACAAGAAATAAAAGAATGCCGCAAACTCAGAACTTCTAGAAGGATGTGAAAAATCAGGGACAGCAAGGTTATGAGTGGCTGCCTAATATTTAACCAGAAGGGGTAATGAACTGCAAGAAAACAAGCCAATAATAGAGGTTGCTAGAAATCCACCCCTTCCCCTCCCACAATCCTCTAATGGAATGACCAAGCATCTACCAAAAAAGAAAAAATAAAATTTCAGATGTGAGATTCGAAGCCAATGGATTTCACCACTGAGGCTTTGGCCAAGTGCCTGCCTCCACTTCTTTATCTTTAAAATAGGGGTTTTAAGGGTTGTTGTTTAGGATTTCTTGAGCGTCTCTAATGTCCTGGGTTTTCTACTGCCTACTAAGAATACAGACATAATTTTATTAGTATAATTTCTGTCCAAGAGTCTTTGGGTGTCTGATTCATATTTCATACGTTAGCCCCAGCTGGTGTGGCTCAGTGGATAGAGTGCCTGCGAGTCCAAGGGTCCTTGGTTTGATTCCCCGTTAGGGCAAATGCCTTGGTTGCAGGTCAGGTCCCCAGCAGGGGGTATGCAAGAGGCAACCTCACATTGATGTTTCTCCCCCTCTCTTTCTCCCTCCCTTCCCCTCTCTCTAAAAATAAATAAATAAAAACTTTAAAATATATATTTCATATGGTAAATTAAATGCTCAGTATTGTTGAACATGAAGGACAAGACCTTGAGTTCCACTCTCAGAAGAATCTCTATCCTTTTTCTGACTCCAATATTTTTCTTGTGTGGTAGACATAAAATGAAGAGTTTTCCTTTATCCCAGGATTGCCTTACAAACATCATTTCTTCCCTTGATGCTGCTGGTATATTAAGGAAAGAAGTAAACGTAACCACCAGCAATAAATAAACAAGCAAAAACACCTACTTACTTCCATGCACACTGTATGTTAGACACTGCCACACTCTCCATAAACATAATTTAATTTTTTTTGCTCAACAACCCTATGAATTATGCATCCCCACTTTATAGATAAGGAAGTTGAGGCCCAGCAAGTTTAAATAAGTAGTCCAAAGTCACACTACATTTCACCTGATTCCAAAGTGTTGGCTCTTAAGTATTCTTTCTTTCCTTTTTGAAATAGTGATTTCTTTTTAGGACAACAAACTAATAGCACTTCTCTTTATCCTCATACCAGCTAAAAATGGGATTTAAAATCCCAACTCACAGAAAAAGTGCCCCCACTCTGGGTTGGGAGGAGGACATACTTAATTGTCTGCCACTCAGAGAAAAACACTAACGGCTCCTTTAAAATTTTTTATTCTGGTAAAAACAAAAGAGAGAGAGAGAGAGAGAAAGGTGAAATATACTCACACACTAAGACAAAGCCTGACTTAAGAAGAGATTGTTTGTAACATAAATCTTTTAAATGATTTTTAAACTTTTTTAGTTAATTTGGATGGAATACTATGTGTTGCTGTTACTGGCAAGCATGGTACTGGGTCCTCAGAAAACTGTACTGACAATGTAAGTCTAGAAGGAATCCAAGAATTCAGCTTGTAAACCAATGAGATAATGTCAATGGCCATGGACAGGTGGTGCCATGTTGCAAGACGTGCGTTGGAAACACAGTAAACTTGAAGTTGACCACTGATTTGAAAGTTAAAGATTTCCCAACCATCGCTGGCTATCAGTCCCTTTTTACTTAACCTCCTAGATAGAGGGTTGAGTTAATCATAACCCATGAGTTCATAGCACATAAATCTCCAAGGCCCCTCTCTTGTTTTATTTATTTATTTATTTATTTATTTATTTATTTATTTGTCTTCATTCCCCATTCCCATTCCAATCCCCCAGAGTCAACGTCCCTAATATGCTTCCTATTTAGCCTTGGATTTTTAAAATGCATGGATATCTTGGTGCATGTATGTATTTTTCATGGATATGAATGATGTAGTATAGGTTTATTACAGTATATAGAGCTAATATAGATTTTGTAATTTCTAACTTTTTTCTTTCAACTATGTTCTTAGGATCATGCCATGCTGGTAACTGCACATCTAAGTCTTTGCTCTTTTTTTTTTTTTTTTTTTTTTACTGGTGTAGAGTATTCTGTAGTGTGTATCCACCTCATTGGATGTCTCCATTCCCCAGTGATGGACACCTAGTCTGTCTCTAACTTTTCACCATCCCCAAGCTGTACTGAGATAAACATCCTCATCCTTCTCCCCTCATAGACCTGCATGAAAATTGAACATACCTTTAGAGTAGGAAACTAAACATACGGGTTTCAAAAAAATTGAGATATTCCCTTAAATATTTAACTAGGTCCATACATTTATGCAGAATTTAGAAAGGGGGTATGGAGGGAGGTAATTTCCTGGCATTTCCACATTTCTCAGATTACCTTTTCAAGGATTTTGTTGGGGTTGGCACAGCCTTGGTCAAAGATTAGATTTGTTTCCTGACCAGTATGATAGAGAACGTTTCCATCTCTGAAGATATTCCATGATAATATCTTCTCTCCCCAGACAAAATTTGCTTACATTCCAGGATAAAGATAATGCCTCCCTTTTGAAGAGCAAGATGGAGAATGTGTGATAATCCCTATGTAAGAGCAGAGTTCACTAAGCCCAGAGTCCCTCAGCTGTGACACAGATCCAATGTGTGCTCAGTGTCTCCTTGGATTTGCTCTTTCCCACCCTGCAAAATCAGCTGTCATTGACACCCATGGAATTTGGTGGACAAGGGGAACCAATGTATACTTGAAACTCAGTTGTCTATTGTGCTCTGAGCAATAAACTGTCTAAATCCATTTGAGCCTGGTTTTTCCTTACTTTTCTTACTGTGGAATTTTGACCGATTTCATAGACATGGAGTGAATTAGCCTAGTTGTTACACTGATGTTTAGGAACTACTTGCCCCACTTGATGAAGAAGAAATCAATGTGACACATACAGCTCATCACCCTGTTTTTTTCTTTCTCTCTCATGGAATTAGAAGCTCTGAATGTTAGTTAGCTATCCAGCCCCAAGACTTCCCATAATAAAAATTACATTTCTCAGCCTTTTTAAATACTTTTAATTTTTTATTTTTTTGCAGCTAGGTATAACTACAAGTCTAATATTTGACCAAAGAAATGCAACAAGAAGTGTGTTCAATATCTAAGAATTGTCCTTAAAGGAAGCACACCTTTGTCCCTCTACATTCTCCTTCTTGAGGGTCAGAATACAGAAATGCTGACTGCAGCGGGAACAGCCATATAGGATTATGAGGTAGTTTAAAAATGGAAGCCATGCTTTTCAGAGCAAAAAGAATCAAGGTAGGAGGAGCTCAGCTCTGGGCACTCCAGCAGCTTTGGGCTACTGGCTTAGATTCAGGAGAAAATGTTGCTTAAACCTCTATTATTTTGAAATGTTGTCACTCACAGGCAAATCCAGTTCTAACAATAGAATAAACATGGGAATGGGATTTAAGGTTTATCAGTCCAAGAACTACACCTTTCACATCAGAATTTAGAGAATAATGCATACCCCATTGCAAAAACTTAGATTTCCTTTTGCAAAGTTAGCTGGCTGTGGGCTTCTTCAGAACCTCATTTATGTCATATTTCTTTTTAGTCTAACTTTTCCTACACAGACAACTCAGAAATATGAAAATCACTACCAAACAAACGCCCACATAAAGTAAATGCAAATTAATCTATGAAGTCATGGTTTGTATCAAAACAAGATTTATAGCAGGTTATTCCAGGAATTCTTAGGAGAATGGAGGCATTTCTTTGGGTCATAATAAAATCAATTGGTAAACTAAGTACATTTGATCACAGGTTTATTAAATGAAACATACATATAAACACTCAAGACTCTGGTGCCATAATATAATAGTATTACATTATTATCCCTTTTTGACAATACCAGAGTGAGGGCACTGAGTATTGTCATTCATGAACTCACTTATTCAACAAATATTTTTTGAGTACATACTATGAGTCAGACTGTTTTAGCCTTTGATAAGCAGGGCAGTCTG